CTTAATTCAATTCTTCTCTTGAGATTCTTTTTTTTTTTTTTGCGGTACGCGGGCCTCTCACTGTTGTGGCCTCTCCTGTTGCGGAGCACAGGCTCCGGACACTCAGGCTCAGTGGCCATGGCTCACGGGCCCAGCCGTTCCGTGGCATGTGGGATCCTCCCGGACCGGGGCACGAACCCGTGTCCCCTGCATTGGCAGGCGGACTCTTAACCATTGCGCCACCAGGGAAGCCCTTCTCTTGAGATTCTTAAGTTCAGCTTTTTTAAGAAACCAGTTCCTAGAGTCCAGGTATCAACTGAATGAATGAAGAAATTTGCAACAAATTGAACTGAGTAAGACCTGGGAGGAGATAAAGAATAAATATTCTAAAAGTGATCTGTTCATTTGATGCAGCATTTTTCAGAAATTGTCCAAGTAATTGCTTATAGTCTAGTGCTGAAGAAATTACAGAAGTTTCACACGAATTAAATAAAATGGAAAAAAATGGTTATTAATCCACATATATATCAACCATCATATGTAACATTTTATGGATATAAAATTTTTCATTAGTCAGAAAAAGATCTTACCCTTCCCAAAAGATAGATCTCAAAGTGCTAAAGCACTTTGTTTGGTGTCATGCAAATATTCATGTATTTATTCAACAGTTACTCACATAAGAGAGATAATTAGGATACTTTTGGATTAGTTGGACAGATGCAAAAGTGACACCATCATATGGAACATTACCAGGTCTATCAGTTTTAAATATGCAGTTCTTGATTATTTTAATTTGAGGGAATTTTCATTATTTAACATTTTACAAATAAAATATATCACTATTATTATATTAAAACATAAACTTTCATGATTCAAATTAACATAAAGTTCAATTTACTATATCTACTATTTTGGAAGCCCAGGAAATTGCTGTAAGTCAGGATTCTGTGATTTGTAGTTTAGAATATTTACACCCCCATAGCATGTCAATTTATTCATGTAATTTTTATTGAATATCCATTATATATCAGGTTATGCTTAGTGCCAAGGGAGATGCATGGACTTCTAATTCATGGTCCCCTCTGGTGAGAAACAATATCTAGTTGAAGAGAGAGACATATAAATGAATTGATACTATTAAATGGGCCTGCTCCCAGGAGTCAGAACTATGTGTGTTTAAATTCCAGCTCTAGGACTCAGATTTCACATATTTAAAATGGATATAAAATCTACTGTGATTATAATAAAATATAAATCCTGTAATAAGTCAAGTTCAAAGAATGAATGGGGCATCAGAGAAGGAAATAACTAACTCTATGCAGGGAAATTTCCTCAAAGAAGGTGACTTTTGAGTTGAATTAAGTGGATAAACAAGAGAGGGAAAGACATACCAGGTAGAAGGGAAAAGCATGCATGAAAAAGCATGGTGTGTTCATGAATACTATGAAGTGGAAACTGATTAGAGTATCAAAGGAAAGGTGAAAAAAATATTGAAACGATGGTGAGTCACTTAATAAAGTGACTAAGAGGAACAAAAAGAGTTGTTAGATGAGACGATAAGGTAGAAATGATGTGATTCATGTGTAATTCCCATATATCCAACACATCAGTTATAAAACAGCAGTCTTATCATACTCTCAGCTGCCCCTTCATAAACCAAATCTCTAAAATGTTAACAATAGTAATAAAAATAACTGAGCTCATGTTGTTCAACTCTGGAAGGCACCCTTCACATTTTATTCTATGGTAATGATGTCCTCTGGACTTATGCAGCACCAGCATGCGTCTATGTGAAGTATACTAATTTATCAATTAAGATTTAGTATAATGAGTAGAGAAGTGATACTTACATACGTCCTCATTGTCTGCTCAGTGAACATGAAGATTCTTCCTAATGTCCTGGCACCATATCTTCCTATTCAGGTCCAGGTACCACCTCTGTTTCGGTACTATCTTCTGTATTGTCAAAGGCATCTCCTTCCTGGCTAATTTTACATCTACCATCTCAACAAAAAAGGTAAAAATGTTATTTCTCATGATGTGATGGCTCCTTGGAGCTTATTTGCATTGAAACAAATAAATCCTCTTGCCACTATAGTTCTCGATTCATTTCTTTAATTTAATCTGGTTACATCATTATTCATGATGATTTAGCATCCAGCATATCACCATGAATTCTGGCTTCCAATAACTCTCTTAAATGTTATTATTGTGCTTCACTGACGATAACCACAAAGGCAAGTCTCTGGTTATCTTAAACTCACCATTACAACTTTCTTAGCATACATATAGATCAACACATCTTCCAACCATGTTTTTTCCTGAACTCTTAGATCATAATCACTGCATTTTTAGAATGTGATCTCTTTCAATGTTAACTGCACTCCTGGCTTCCACACACAACCATCAACTGGGAGGATGGGTGAGAGACCTGGGGTGAAGCAAGGAGAGTGATCCTATCCTTGCAAGGGGTGTTTGGCAGGGCTCAAGACCAACCCAGGGGAGCACAATGTAACCACGGTGATGAAGGCAAGAGAGGATGTTGACTGGCAGGGTCCAGGGGCATTATGGAGGAATGATCTCCAAAGCCCTTGGAAGAGATAAATATATCCACCCCTAAAGACTATAGGAGGCTTTATGTGGAGATTGTGGAGGAATTGGAGTGACCACCCTGGGTGCCAGCATCAGGGAGCACATTGAATAAAGGACACCTGCCAGACCCCTGCCACCTTTGTGTACTGTAAACAGAGGCTGCCCTATGGGGACACAAACAACAAAGAGCTGCTGGATGGGACCACACATGCAGCTCAAGCCTAAGGGTCAGTTAACAGCCCAGACTCCAAACTCCTCTTGTGTCCAATGTGAGTCACACAAAACTCATCAGTCATAACCTTACTTAAGTGGGTAGAGGGGGAATGGAGTTGACCTAAGTAACGCTGGCAAATGATATTTTGACTGGAAATTGCGCTTGCCCGGCCAACCTCTCAGAACCAGAGAGGGCCTTGGGCTCCTGGATCACTCTTAGACTCAAGTGTCTGAATTCCCCTCAGGAATCTGATTGACCCTGTGTGCAGCGGGGAAGCAAGGCTCTTGGAGTTCTGCATCCTGGAGAGTCTTTCTCCAAAATTTTCAAGTCCGCTTTCAGTGCCTGGGCTGCAATGCCATCCAGACAGGGCATGTAGATCCTGGTCCCATGTGGATCCAGTTCTGTGGAAATGTCTTAATCAAAATTTTCAAGGTCTGACTCCAGGATTTTCCAGGAGCCCACCATCTCCATTTCTCCCCTTAAAGGCTCTCTTTGAGCTTTTTGATGATAGCAACAGATGTGGAAAAACATTTGATACAGTCAACATCAGGTCAAAACAGGGGTTGAGGGCCAATAGGGAGGAAGTGTGGAGCCTTTTTTAACTTGGTACAAAAATCTTCGTAAGCATCATACTTAAAACTGTAAAGCAATATTATTAGGGACAAAATAAGCAAGTTGTGAATAATGTACAGTATGAAACCAACTTTATAAAAATTTTAAAAATACACAAACCAATAAGGTTATAAATGATGTTTAAGTATGTAAGTGATAGACAATGATCTAATATCAGTGGCAACCTCTAGGAACAGGGAAAACAGGCTCAGTGTTGAGTATAACATCTTAATTTTTTATAAGAAAATTTCACCTTCTAACTGTTGCACTTCCTCAGTTCAAGATATCTTAATTATCCATTAGTGTACCTTTGTCCAGACTTCTTAATCCTCTCTTCCAATAATGCTTCTCCAAACTTCTTAAACTTCTTATATTCTTCTTGTATTGTCATCCTAAACTGTCTTAAATTTCTTCTAGGATAATTTTTTTTCCTAATTCAGTTAACTACCCTAGTCCTCCTTATCCATGGCTTCACTTTCTGCCATTTCAGTTTCTCAGGTCAACACGGTCCAAAAACATTTAATAGAAAATTCCAGAAATAAATTATTCATAAGTTTTAAATTGCACACTGTTCCAAATAGCATGATGGGATCTCATGCTGTCTGCCCTGGACATGAATTATCTCTGTGTCCAGCATATCCCACCTGTTAGCACTTAGTAACCCTCTCAGTTATCAGGTCAACTGTCATGGGATCACAGTGCTTGTGTTCAAGTCGCCCTTATTTTACTTAATAATCGCCCCAAAGTACAAGGGTAATGATGCTGGCAATTCACATCTGCCAAAGAGAAGCCATAAAGTGCTCCTTTTAAGTGAAAAGGTGAAAATTCTCAACTTAATATGGAAAGAAAAAGAATTGTATACCGAGCGTGTTAAGATCTATGTTAAGGACATATCTTTTATCTGTGAAATTGTGAAGAAGGAAAAAGATATTCATACTAGTCTTGCTCTCACACTGCAAACTGCAAAAGTTACGGCCACAGTGCGTGTTAAGTGCTTAGTTAAGATGGAAAAGGCATTAAAATTGTACGATAAGGTATTTCGAGAGAGTGACGACACCACATTCACATAACTTTTATTACAGTATATTGTAATCATTGTTCTATCTTATTATTAGTTGTTGTTAATCTCTTATTGTGCCTAATTTATAAATTAAGCTTTATCATAGGTAGGTATGTACAGGAAAAAAACATAGTATATATAAGATTTGGTACTCTCTGCAGTTTCAGGCATCCACTGGGAGTCTTGGGACTTATACCCTGCAGATAAGGGAGGACTACTATATCCTTAAAATCCTCTCTATCTTTTTGGTCCCCCACCTTTATAGTTGAGTCTTAGTAGTAAGAAGAAGCCATGTTTTGTATGCCTTACCTATACCACAGTTTCTATTCTTTTATCCAGAATTATCATAATGTTAAAATATTACATTGAATGCTTATAATCCATAACTCAGAACAGTATTAATGTTTCTTTTACATAATTAGCCCATAAGGAACTAGAAGTCCTCCACTGAAATGGGGAGAGAACAGTGGAACTTTCATAGCACCTACAAAGTTTTCAGGATGGCAACACATCTTTGAAAAATAACAGTCATGGACAATTATGTTAGATTCTTTTCATTTTTTTATTAATTGTAGCACAGAGAAAAGAGGCAAAATATTTAAAGAAATTTGTGTTCTTAAGACAGGGTGTTGGTTAACACCAACAGAAAAGAAAAACAGATGAATAAGCTCTGAGTTTTCATTTCTCTTTTTTTCCTCTTACTCTCAGGGTAGGCTGAAAAACAAAAAGATAAATATAATTACTGTTTATAAAATGGCATGTGTTTTTTCAAATCTCTTCAAATGAATGCCAAATTGCTTAGATTGCCTTTCCGCAATTTCCACCAATGAAAACAATTCAAGCCTCTCCTAGACTCATGGCAGTTGAATTCTTCTGTTGGACTAGGGGAGAGGACACAGCAATAAGGATTGTAAAGTCCTCTCTTCGTCACACAGGCTTTTCATCATTAACTCTCAGGGTCATTTACTTAACTCCTACTTTTTTTTTTTTTTTTTTTGCCACAACACACAGTGCGGCTTGTGGGATCTTAGTTCCCAGACCAGGAATCAAACTCGTGTCCCCTGCAGTGGAAGCATGGAGTCCTAACCCTGGACTGCCAGGGAATTCCTGACACCTACTTCTTACTTAAGTTAATTACAAACAAAAAAGTTGTCTTCTCAAAGTTAGACCTCTAGGAAGAAAATCTTGCCATTTAGGACTAAAACAAATCACATTTTGAAACGCCCAAATTTGCAAAGATATGAAGCTGGTTCCTTTCCTGAATGCACAATATGAAGGTTTTACCATATAGGCAAAGAGCAAGTTAAAATCTAATAGTGGAATAAACATCACAGTTTAAAAAATATGAAAATAATTCATGCTAAAAAATAGTTGGACAAATTGTTTCAAAAAGGAAGTTCATTCTATTTTTTATTATAATTTCCCCCAAAATACTACACCACAATGGGTAAAACATGTTTATGTTCAAACATCTAAATTTTAAAGTGGGCCTTTTTGTCATAAGAAGAGAAATTCTCTTAAAGCTCAGCATGTTGACACATTGGAAACTTAGTAGCAAATTATTTACTTGTAATAAAAGTTCACATAAGGTAGACCTATCATATTCTCCAATGAAATGAATTTGTTCTTGAGCTATATGGTTGAACCATATGAAATCATTGATATTGAACTGTTTTTGTACATACAAAAATGCACTTTCATATGGTCCAGCCTATTGCCTAAAGTTTCCCACTCCTGAGCCAGTACGTAGTAGAATGACTCTGTCTTCTGTGTCACATTGGGTCAGAACAGGCCAGTGGTTAACTCTCAAGCCCTGGTTTGAATCTTTAATTTTGGCTCCGTGGTTGGGTAGTCCTTGGGTAAAGTATTTAACCTATTTCTTGATCTATGCCTTCATTTTCTCATCTGCAAAATGGGAATAATAATGGTACTCAGCTCAGGCAACTATTTTGAGAAGTAAAGAAGTTAATATATATAATCAGTTTAGAACAGTGGTTAGCACTGGTCAGTTGATCTTTGCTATTTTAATAATAACTATTAAAATTAGTTTTTTAAAAAAATCTAAAGTGTAGTTACCTGAGATGCTTGTGGTTGTGTTCTTTTTAGGCTATGGCTTCTCGAGTTTTAACAACAAGTTTTGGACCCTAAATACAAAGAAACGACAGATGTGGGGAAAATATTAGCACCACTATTAGGGTAGAAAAGTAACATTTATACAGCCATTGGTGATTACAAAGTAATTTTATGTACATCACATCCCTTAATAACAGTTTAGTACTAGAATCTCTAGAAGGAAGCTCACCAGCATCATTGCCCCCAAAGGAATAAAAAAATTACTGTCAAGTCATAGGGGGAATAGTAAATGATTCAGACATCTAAATATAAATTTCCACACTAACCTGTAAAATAAACATTCAGATTCAACCAAATCACAAACAAGCATTTTCAAGAAAATGTTTAAATAAATTAATGCTTTGGTTTGATGATGTCTCTACCAAAACATCTCAGGCTTTATAAATATTTCTATCTATATTCATAAACATCACAACTTTGGAAACAGAACAAACATTACAAACACTTAGTAATAAACTACAGTGCACCAGGAGATTTAAAAGAAAAAAGAGCTATTTCAGTCATTTGGTAAGACAATTGTATGAAGAATAAGATTCCTGTTCTACATGCACATAATGTCTTTCAGATACTTCAACCACTAACCCCTAGCTTGATCAAATGCAACAGCAAAGGAAATTAGACATGTGAAAATGAAGGCAAACAACTCCAGTACCTCCAGAGCAAAGCAGGCCTCTTTGTCATCGGCTGCACAGCACTTGTCTACAAAAGCTGCAAAATCCCCCATAACAGTTTTCAGTTGTTCCTCTGTTACCTTGGGTTTGTGTTTTACCAGCTCAACGAGTGCACTGCATTTGAATGAAAACAAAAAACAAACCAAAAAAACCGGAAAAAAAGTTTACTCTCTACAGAAAAATGGAGATGGTAAAAATGGTATCGCTGCTACTTAAGATGCTAAGTCTTAGAGCCAGACAACTCTGGACCTGAGGCCCAGGCTTACCATTATAAGCTTCAATATTCTTATTTGCATAATGAGGATAATAAAATCCACCTTCGCAGGGTCAGTGGAAGGATCAAATTAAGTAATCAATGTAAATTGCTCAACATTTGTAGTGTCAGTAAATCTCAACAAATCATTCTTCAGTAAATCACTGGAAAGGATGATGTCATTGCATTTATATGGTTATTCAGATTTTGGAAGTAATGCCATATGGAAGTTTTAAAATTTGAGAGTTAAAAATGATCCTGAAAAACTTACTTATCTTGGGCTCCATTTAAAAAGTTTCTAATCTGAGAATCTTTATATTTGGTTATTGTAATCTGCCCATTCAAAGTTAATAATGGAGCGGCCATAGGAGATAAAACTATCCAATTCATGGGAGTGGGTGGTTCTCTTTCACTGACATCTACAGAGACAATAGTGCTAGAGAAAGAGTCATGTGGGCATGACAGGTTTTGCAATATGACTTTTAAATCTATGTCCATGATCAGAATCCACCAGAGATAATAGCAAATTTATGTTGCTAAATTTCATGCAATTATAACCCCTTGTGACAGCAATAGGGAGTCATGCCTCAGAACTCTAAATCCCAGATATTTTTAATCCAAGTTCCATTCTCAAAAGTCAGGTCTTGAGGGGTTGCCTTGTCTGTGCGTTGCCATAGAACAAACTGAAAATAACTATTCATGCCTAGAATTAAATTTTCATATGATTTCTACTAAGTAATTTGCTATCTGCAAAACTGCATCAGTTCAGTTTTTTCTGCTGGACCTAGCCTAAGCTGTTATTCTACTGCAGCTTTTATCCACAAGATTATTCTGAATGGTACTTTTTTTTTTTTCTTTTGCTAAGAAAACAAAATGCTATCCATTTTATTCTTGACACTTTTATCTGCTTAATAAGGTCAATATTTAAGTATTTAAGGTATATAATCACTACTTAAAGAAAAGTTGCTCATTTTAATTTACAATTCTCACTATCCAGACTACAAACACATGCAGTAATGAAGTACTCCTCACATTTGTTTCTTGATTTGTTTCTCATTCTCGGGAAGTGTGCATAAATCTGCATGGAAGGTGAATGTTTTCTCATCAAAGGCTTTGGGTGCATATGTTTCATCAACTGTCAGAGCAGAAAAGCATGGCCGTCTGTTCACCAAGGACTCCGTGCAGCATTTGGTAACTCTTTCGCTAACCGGTGTCTTCTCGTGCAACACGCACAACCGGTTCAGGACCAAGGACAGCTAAAAGCAGGCAGGAGAGCAGAAGTTCAAAGGAAGCATAATGAAAAGTTTTCCATGAACTCCTACCTTCCAAAGGACCAAAACAAATGTTATATTTTAACTAGCAACATTGAATCCTAGGTTGATTTGAGAAAACGATTTGCTTATTTTTAGAACTACAAATAATAAGGGACTTTGAAGTCTTCTCTTTTAATTAAATATGTCTACATTTTAAGAATAATTTATTGAGAAAATAATTGATTAAATAATTTGAGGTGAATCCTGATATATGTCTTGGAGTAGGGAAGAAATAGTCTTATACATTAAAGATCCAATACATTAAATTAAATACATTAGATTAAATACATTAAAGATCCAATGATGCAAAGCAAAAATAGAGGGTAGGGCTTCCCTGGTGGCGCAGTGGTTAAGAGTCCGCCTGCCGATGCAGGGGACATGGGTTCGTGCCCCAGTCCGAGAAGATCCCACATGCCGCGGAGCGCCTGGGCCCGTGAGCCATGGCCGCTGAGCCTGCACGTCCGGAGCCTGTGCTCCGCAACGGGAGAGGCCACAACAGTGAGAGGCCCGCGTACCGCAAAAAAAAAAATTTAAAAAAAGATCCAAAGAAAGTAAAAATTTAGAAAATTCCAGGATGGAACATTAAAAGTTCACAGAATTTTTTCAAAACAGTTTATCATTTTTGGAATCTTATCTAAAACCTCTTTCTGATGGTCAGGATAATACAGGTGACCAAATCCTGGCTGCCATTACCATATACACAAAACACACACACACACACACACACACACACACACACACACACACACACACACACACAAACACACACACATTAGCCCACCCTTGCTTCTGAAAGTTAGCTTTGTCAATATCTAAAAGCAAAAGTTCATCATTATTAACTTTATTATGTTCTAAAAGACTCACATAGTCTTCAGCACAGGACATTCTTTCTGATTCAGGATTCTTACAACACTTAGAGCCCACTCTTCCTAGGTTTCTTGAGACCTCCACGAGAGTTGGAGTTGACACTTGGGGTACTTTCTTGGTGTAACGAACTATGAGCCTATAACAACATAATCCACGTGTTTTCAGCCAGGCAAGAAACTGTCTTTTTCTAACACGTCAGGTCAAGCAGAGATCACTTAGCCAAAATCCACTAAGATGGTTTTCCATTCATAAAATTATCATCTCCAGGTTGGCGGGGTAATGTGGGAGAAGACCTTGTCCTGAGCAACTAATTAAGCCTAGCTTTGAATCCACCTGTGCTGTATAATCTTAGGAAAAAATTGTAATTTTTATTGTAATTCAGTGACATTAAGATATTTATTAATTGCTTCTTTCTTTCAATAAAACCTACTGAGAGCTTAACATACATCAGCACTGTACTAAATTTGAAAGACATGGATGAAATTTCTCACCCATGAAATGGAAGGAAATATACCTGACTCAAAAGGGATAGTGCAAGGATTAAATTAAAAGGAACAAAGCATGCAATCAACCTGATGTGGTATCTAGCATGTAATAATCATTTACTAAGAATGCTAATCACCATTGAAAGCCAATGTATGACCATAATCTACTCAAGGGAAGAGACTATGTCTTGTTCATTGTTGTTATTCCTAGCACCTATAGGTAGAAGAGTGTTAACATGTGTAAGCTGAACAATAAATAACTAAATGATGTGTCCCTTCCTGTCTTAACTTCCACAGATAAGGCTCTATTTAATTGGGACATTAATCCATCATCTTATTAAGCTACTGCTACTGAAGATCTACTATTTTCTGCTCTGTGAAGCATTGCTGTATTTTGTTTGCTCATAAACTATTTCTTAACTTTCAAATGGCATCCTCAGTTCCTATATCCCAAGATTTGATATTTTTCCTCCCAGACTTAAGAGCCCAATTTTTTAAAGTGCACTCAAATATAGGCCTCTTCATCCCATCAACTATTTTATTTCATTTTCTCTGGTCTTTCTTGATGGAGAGTGATTAGAAATGATACTTTATTTTCAAGATTAAAAGTTCTATGATAGGGCTTCCCTGGTGGTGCAGTGGTTAAGAGTCCACCTGCCAGTGCAGGGGACATGGGTTCGAGCCCTGGTCTGGGAGATCCCACACGCCGCGGAACAACTAAGCCCATGCACCACAACTACTGAGCCTGCGCTCTAGAGCCTGCAAGCCATAACTACTGAAGCCCGCATGCCTAGAGTTCGTGCTCTGCAACAAGAGAAGCCACCACAACGAGAAGCCCGCACACTGCAACGAAGAGTAGCCCCTGCTCTCCGCAACTAGAGAAAGCCCATGTGCAGCAAGGAAGACCCAAAGCAGCCAAAAATAAATAAATAAAATAAATAAATTTATTTTAAAAAAAAGTTCTGATAGGTGGTCTATAAATTGGCTTAAATATTTATTAAATGAACATGAAAAATTTAGTCAATAAGCAAAAATACTTACGCATTTTGGAATTGATACTCTCCAAGTTTTTCAAAAAGTTCACAGTTTTGTTTAATTAAATTCTTAGGCTCCTCCACAAGAGGCTGAAGTTTCTCAAACTGAAAAATAAAAGAATAGTGTTTACAACATTCTCCCTGAGGACCAGATGCAGGTTGTGTTTCATCCTTCTAGGCATAATGAGATCCTTCCTCCTTTCTGCCCAAAGCCATGAAAATAGATTTTTGATGTCAAATCTATTATAATATGTCCAAACTGTTTATTTGATGAGACCGTATGAGATAAGTGATTAAGAACATTCAGACTCTGGAGTGCAACTGCGGATGTTTGAGCCAGGTCAACCTGACTCATGTTCTAGTTGTGCAACTTTACTTCCCATCTCAAAGCTTTAGAACCCTCATTTCTAAGATGGAGATGAACATGGTACTCACCTCAGAGAATTGCTCTTGTAGACTACCTGAGCTAATGAAATTAAAACATAGCCTGGAATATAGTAAAAACTCAGTAAATGATGGCTATGATTGTAAGTATCATCATTATTAAGCCGTCTCTCCAGTTGGACCCTGAGCTTTCTGAGATAAGAGATTTTACCTTGGTCATCAGTTCCTGTGTGGCACTTGGCATATAACCAGTTTCTTGGTAGAGGGAAAAAATGACTTTCCTCTGATTCTTAAGTTTGCGCACCACTATATGTGCTAGGAGTACCAAATATCTCAAACATGATAAAATTCTATTTTAGCATAGCTAAATATGCTAAATATTCTCAAAACAGATTTCCTCTCCGCACTTCGTTTCTTGTAAAACCATTCTTAAACTGTCTCAAAAAAGGATTTGAAAATATTCTAAAGTACTAGATTTCAGAATCTTTCTTATGATACTAATTCTTGATACTTAATAAAACTGGAATCAGGTTAACTTTCTTTATATCTACGTTAAATCTCTTAACATTTAAATTTACTTTATTTTGTTCTCAGGAGTGTAAAAAGGAGAAAAAGCATGGTCAAGATTTTGTGAAATTAGGGCTTCCCTGATGGCGTAGTGGTTGAGAGTCCGCCTGCCGATGCAGGGCACACGGGTTCGTGCCCCGAAGAAAGATCCCACATGCCGCGGAGCGGCTGGGCCCGTGAGCCATGGCCGCTGAGCCTGCGCGTCCGGAGCCTGTGCTCCGCAACGGGAGAGGCCACAACAGTGAGAGGCCCGCGTACCGCGAAAAAAAAAAAAAAAAAAAAAAAAAAAAAGATTTTGTGGAATTAGAGATTGCTCTCTTTGATCTTTCTATTTAAGGCTATTATTCCTATAATGTTTAAAAGCACAGAGTTGAAACCATCTTAAGAAAAAATCTAAATTGCACTATGTAACATTCTTGCGTTATTTTTCTTTCCTGTTATTAGAATCATCAGTTAAAGAGCTATATATTTTTTTCCTTCCAGAAACCTACCACTGTGGCATAGCATGCAGGAGGATCATCTTTGGCGCAGCAATCCTCCAGTGAGGCTTCATATCCCTTGGCAATTCTCAGCAGCAATGAGACAGAGTACTCAGGATGCTTTCTCGCATACTCATACAAAAACCTAATTAAGATGACAATAAAATAGATTTAGTTGGACAAATGAGCAAGACAAACTACATAATTGGGACTTCCCTGGTGGCCCAGTGGCTAAGTCTCCGCACTCCCAATGCAGGGGGCCTGGGTTCGATCCCTGGTCAGGGAACTAGATCCCATATGCATGCTGCAACTAAGAGCCAGTGCAGACAAATAAATAAGTAAATAAAACATCAAAAAAAAACACCCCATAATTAACCACAAAATTAACTCATATCATAAAGGTCTGAATTTGACTAAACGCCATGCAGTAAAGCTTAGTGGCTAAGGACTTGGGAGTTCAGAGTTAAAGCTATCAAATCCTGGCTCTGCCACTTATTTTATTATATCACCTTAGGCAACTTATTAAAACTATCAAGACTTTGTTTCCTCCTCTGTGGAATGGGGATAATAATAGTGCCTATCTCATAAGGTAAACTGTAGGAAATAGATGACGTAATCTATGTGAAACACATGTGGTCTGGCACATATTAAATGTCTGAGGAATGACACCCGTTACTATTAGGTATAATTTGTTTGATTCGGACTATACCTCAAAAAGGTTCTGATAGATTAATAGAGATATTTTCTTAATTTTTTTCCTCTCTGTATGAGTAAATTCTTAATGGTTACATAATTTTATGAAATATTATTTAATGCACAGAATACTATTATAATTGAGCAATAAAAATGCAAAGTTTATCACTACACTTACTGACTTTATATAATCATCGATTTTGTCATTTAATTGCTGTCATTTAACGCTGCCTTGCCATGCTACCAGACTTCTGGTCTTTTTAACCAAATATAAAGCACCTGGTAACATTCTACTTCTCTTTATAGTTCTTTGCTGACATCAGATATATCAATAGATAGGTAGATAGATAGATATAGAGACATAAAGATGTATTACATATATTCACAGATATATAAGTTTAAGAAATATTCTTTGAATGAATGCATGAATGGATAATATGTATATAATTTATGTATACACAAAATATTTCTACAGGTATTTCCAGAAATATTCCTAAGGACTAAGGAATGAAATGGGGGTGTAAAAATGAACTTTTATTATTACTTTGTACTCTTCTCTATTAATTGAGCATCTGCTATATGCATGTATAATTTTACAACAATTTTTAAAATTAATTTTTTCCAAAAATGTTTAAAGACTGGGAGAAGAAAGAATAAAGAAACATTGTAGGCAACATGAAGATTGTAGCAATTCCAAAGGAAAGCCTAGAATAATTTCCTAAATCCTGAGACCATATAAAACTATGAAAGATCATTCCTTATCCACTTACGTGCCCAGGAAGACATCTTTTGCTTCATTATAGTTTTTGCAAACTTCCTTATCTTCAGCAAAATCAGCAGCTAATGGGGACAGGTTTTCAGGCAACTCATCTTTTTCCACCTCTGAAATGCAGTGGGATTTTTCCAACAGAGGCTTATCACAGCACTTCTGCAGTTTACTGGAGATTGTAGCTTGATTTTCACATATATACTTGGCAAGATCCGCCTACAAGCAAGTTGATGGAAACTGTTCAACGTAAATTGACTTTGCTGTGCTTCCTCCCTAGACTTTTACTATGTTGGCAGAACAAGTTCATTTTATTCTAAGACCATACATATACCAACCTGCGTTCTGTGAATATTTTCAGTCTGTGCTGCTAAGTCTAGAGACACAGATAGAACTACTAAAACATTTCCACTTGATTTGAAAAAAACTAGTCAGTAATAAGGTCTCATATCTGTTATTTATTAATTTTATATTTCTACTGTTAAAGCATTTAAATTTTAAACTAAAACTCAGTACTGTTTTGCCAAATACTCCCCACAAATTAAGTGCAGGCATCTTGAAACCAAAAAACTAAAGTGTTACAGATTTTTGAAAAATTAGTCAAGATCACAGTCACAGACCCTACTTACACATGTAAAATATCTGCCTTAAATTTTCCAGAAAGTGTACTAAGAGATTAGTATTCTGGTATTTGGTCATATTTTTCAGTTTGAGAAAAAGATATGCTAAATATTTGTATTTTTAACACGGACAGTTGAGAGAATATAGAGCAAAAAGTTACATAATTTCCAAAGGTCTCTTCAGATTCTAGCCTTTCTCCAACTCCTCCCACCTCCTTAAAAAATCTTCTTACAAATCTACCTTTGTAACTGTCTTACTTCAGTTTTAAGCTTTTGTTCTCAGAATATGAATGAAAGGGATTACAAATTACTGAGTGAGTTTATCAGATCACTTACTGAGTAGGAGAAAGAAAGAGAGAGAGAGAGGGGAAAGAAAGAAAGAAAGAAAGAAAGAGGAGAGAGAGAGAGAAGGAAAGGAAGGAAGGAAGGAAGGAAGGAAGGAAGGAAGGAAGGAAGGAAGGAAGGAGAGAGAAACAAAGAAGGAAAGAACCGCAAGGCAAGGCAAGTATTGAGCAGATTAGAGCATAGAAAACTATCTCAAACCACTCTCAGTTGTTCTGATGCTAAACAAATTGATTCTACCAACTTAAGCAAGTAAGTTACCAAAAGGTATACTGAGGATTCTTTACCCTGTCATCTGCACATTCAAGCAGGTCACCATGGCAGCATTCCTTGTGGACTTTCGTAAGATCTGTCACTATCTTGGAAACCTCTGCAAAATCAGCCTTGGGAAATTTTTGGCTCAGGCGAGCTACTGACCTAAAGAAGAAAATTCTCCCATCAGAATATTAACAGGCAACATTTTATATCAAAGTACTAGGAAAATACTACGTATAACAAGAAAATTTAGGATAAAATAACATAGAGAAATAATTTGTAAGATTTATTAGTTCTTATTTTAATGCTAATTCTGAACCAAATTGTTCTCTTAGGGCAAAATGTTTCCTTAGGGCCTACTTATCCATTGTAGGAGTGTGTATGGTTGTTAGAAGTCCAGCAATTCATGAAAGCAGAAATCAAAGAGGGATTCTAAAAATGGCAACATGCTGAGAGGCATCAGGTTTGGAGCCCAGAGCTGACTTCCAGATCTGGCTTTATAGCTTATTGACAGTGTGACCCTAGGCAAGTTACTTAGCCTTTCTGAGCTTCAGTCTCTACAGAGTCACAACAACATGCTAAACCAAAGGATTGTTGTGAGGATTAAATTAGATAATACATATGAAAGCATTTTATGAACTGGGAAGTGCCATACAAATTCCAGTTATCCTTTTTTTTATTAACTAAAACACATTCTTCCTGACTTCCACAGGTCTCTGAGAAAAGAAATTTCATAACTTCTACAAAATTAGAGAGTTTTGATTCAGCATATTCTTACCAAGAAATTGATTCAGCATAATCTCTCAGCTCACTGACAAGATGTAAAAGGCTAACATCCACAAGCTTTCCCAAATCATTTCGGAGTTGCCTAAATCTGATAAAAGACACTGCTTCCCCCAAACTAATCATAGCCTGTTTAACTATGTATCATTTCATGTTGAGGTTGTTTCGTTTATTGATTTGGTTGCTTTTGGTGGTATAGATGGTAGGGATGACAGGCAAAGATAGTTCGTTCAAGTGCCAGTTTCTAGAGAGTTTGCAAAATATCTATTTTCATTTTATTTCCTGTTCGTGTTGACTAGAAGGGAGGGATTGGTGACGAGGGTGTGGGAGATGGAGAAGGGGAGTTCCTTGGCTCAGATACTGAAGGATGATGCTTCTAGAGCTAGCTAATAATATAAAAACAGAGGCCCAGGAAAAAACAAGACATTAAGCGCAGAACTGGTGCTACAAGAAAGTGAGAAGAAAACCTGATGGCTGAAATTAATTATCAGAACATAAAAAGACAAGCAGACACTTCAGATAATTGGGTGGAGGGGAGATAAAATTAAATAAAAGACCCTGACTACAGCTTTATAAAAACAGTGGACCATTATACTAAGATCACAGTCATTATAAATACATGGGAGTTTAAACACCTGTCCTAGAAGAACAAAAAAGTCCTCTAGATTCTTTGACTACTTAGAAAAGATATGATAAAAAAATAATGACAAATTGTTACTGATGCTCTGGTTTTCACCTCTGTCAAATTTCTACCTTTTAGACAACCAAAAAGATATATGCGAAAGCACTGCGTAAAATGACATGCAAGTGTACAGTTTTGTCAACTGAACCATCATCATTTGCATCATTATAAAAATGCAAACTAAGTTTAACATACCATGCTTTTAGAGCTCTTTCTCCGAATTTTTGGATACTGGTACACTTGAGTCTCTGTCTGGCAGACGAAGCCAGTACTTCTTCTCTCACAGTTTCAATCTGCAAAAAGAAACAATTTTGGAAAAATTAGAAAAGAAAAATTTTACGCAGACCACCCCTTCATAAGCTCAGATGAGACTATGCCAAATTGAATTTTAAAGAGAGAATTTACTCCTAAATTCCCAAGTATCGCTATTGGCAAATAACTATTTTGTTCTGTAGGAAGAGGAAAAGTCAGTCTGCTCATAGTGGAAACTTCCAGGTAGTTAAGAACCAGCATGGAGCCATTGTTAGGGAAAAGGGAACGGAAAGGAAAAGTGGAAGGACAGAGTACGCTAATATCCCAGGGAACAGAACTTTGCTGACTTCTTAATTTTGCATATAACCCCTTTCAATGCCTCCTCCACCAACTCTCATAACATCAATAAACTCCCTATAAAAGAGAATGCAGTGTAAATATTCATGGAATGAATGAATAAACCCAGGCTTCTAGATGCAGTTAAATTCTCCCCTACTTTAAGTTCCCTTCCGAATAAAAAAGTCTCATGAAAAGAGAAACAAAAACTGTGTTCCCTTGCTGTGTAATTTTAAACATGATTTTCCGTATTTCACTACAGCAACTTGCACTATTAAAAGAGGCAGGATATTTAGACACATACACAGCGATTCCCTCTACCAGATCCACTTAGGCAAATCTTAGAAGGAGGAAGGTGGAAGACATAGGCCTTCAAAAAAGGTGAAAGATCTTTGAGGGGGAAAAGACGGAGGAAGGCTTTTTTGACCACGTAAAGAAGTTTCTATTGGAGGATTAGGTTTCCGAAATCTAACCATAAGATGTCCCCAAACTGAGATTTGATTATGAATTGATTCTTCTATTCTTCTTCTGGGGAATACCTTTGGTATCAGGCAGGCACCTTTATCAGCAGCTTGGCAGCATTCTGCAAAAACTCCTTTATATTGATGAGCAAAGTAAAGGAGTTCTGGGGCATAAAAGTAGGGGTGTCTTCTGGCAATTTCATATAGGTATCTAAATTTTTAAACAAAAAACAGACAGCCATTTTTCTATAGCAGACAGTATTGCAGGAAGACTTGTAATCTACATTCTCCCCAGAACCTCCAAAATCTGAAGACATCTAATTTACCAGTTAAGCTCAATTTGCACATAATGAACTTGCTTTTGTTGCTCTTTGAGTCAGTGAAAATGTTAAACTCATACATATATATACATATAAATATACACACATGCATAAATTAGTTAAATATCAGTGATATGTTATTGACTAAAATGAACTAAATTCTGAGAATACTAAATATATATATATCTTTATAATATTTTAATACATGTCATCTTCAAATATTTTCATACAGATCATATCCTGTTTTGATGAACTCCAAAAGATCTTTGATCGACTTTTTCAACGTGTAGAATTTTGTAGTATCATATATTATTTCTTTGAAAATTGTCATTAGAACAGAAGCTTCAAGTCTTAATGTTGATAATATTTTTCAAAATAGTAATTGTTATAATGAGTCTTGACCTATTCCATAATTTTTAATTTTGAAGCTTAAAAATCTGATTACTTACTTTCCCCAAAACTTCTGTTCGTTTTCCTTAAACTCGGTACACAAAGTCTCAGGGTCTGGTTTCAATTTAGGGAGGTCTGGATTATCATCTTTGTGTTTCAGGAGGCATTCATTTCTCTCAGGCTCTTGTTTCCCACAGCAGTCGGCCATTTCACCATAGGTTTCACGAAGGGATGCAACTGCACACAGTTTATCTCCAAAGAGAGTGTGCTAAGTGAAAGAGAGCAGGTGCCAAATTGCTGGGCAGACTTTTGTTTTCCTTATACCCAAAGAATAGTATAAGGAATTAATATCTTGGTAAGCCTTGGTTAGTAAATCATATAAAAATCCACATTTTTCTCAGATTTAGAGATCTTCCCTTGATTTGACCATCTAGGGTCAAATCTAGGGAAATCATGTGTGATTTCCATAAGAATTAACTGTCACACTATCACTTATAGTGGATAAAACAGAAGGGCAAAAAGGCAATGACCTTAATGAATGAGCATAACTCCTATTTCCACCTGAGGCTAAAGGCTAGGAGAACAATCATTATAATAAAAACTCAAGGAAAAATATCCTCTAAGTAGCAAGTGAATTCACATTAGGGAGGGAAGTGTTCATATAGTTTCTCATTTGATCTGCTCCTTTTTGAGAGGTTCAACTTTTTAGTAGATACCATTCAAAACTGAGGAGTAACATAATCTACCATGCATTAGTTGTTGTTGTATTAAAATATAGATTTTTTTTGTTCTAGAAATATTTGCCTCAATGCATATTCCATTAAATGAATCCTTTCTGTCCCCATTAATTTTTATTATGAAAGTAACTATAACTTTAGGGAAAATATGCTGCTCAAGACAGAATTTATTAATTTTTTTAAAAAGACACACTTTTAAAAATTCATATTTAGAGCAATATTATTGTGTGTAGCTAAAGAACTGATTCTGCCTTGAGGCAGAAGTACATATAGAGAAAAATAAGAGGAAGAAAGGCTTTAGTGATAAATAAAAAACTGCCTTGTCCCCAGAAAGGTATATATAGATTAAGTGGTGAGAGAAACATAAAGCTATCCTTATATTAAAGACCTATCTGAAAATATCACAAGTTCAAAGTTCTGATTTTTTATTGTATGTAAAAATATGAATATCCCTAAAATGAGGAATACATAGCTGTACTATTATTTCACCCGGGTAACCAAGTTAGCACAGAGATCAGGTGAGTACTTTCTGAAGATAAAAACTATACTATCATTATTAGCCTCTATGAAAAGAAATCGAACTTCAAATTTTAAAAAGAAACTTCTACAAATAAAAAATTTCCATTTAAAAACACTATGACTCTTGTGTGTGGTTTCAACAAAGAAATGTTTTTAAAATTGTGGGTATACTAGAATATATCTATCATTGAAGAAACAGTGGCTATACCCACTTTTGAGCGTTGCTTACAAATACGGTCGTTTAGTAATAATTGAGAAAACTGAAGTGGTATTTGTTTTCTTTGTAAACATTCAAGATTACGTAAAGGAAGAAGAAATACTATTCAAAATCAGAATATACTTACAAGTGACTTGTCACAATTTGCAGCTGACTCATCAGCAACGCATGTTTTTGCAAAGTCAGTTATTTCATTCACTAATTTTACATGCTCATCAAACGGGCTCTGCTGAAGATACTGAGAAAAGGCAATCAGCACCCTGAAACGAAGGACATAGAAAAATGTAGCATAATAAAATTTTAATATACAGTAGGTTGCTATGCTAGAAAACAAAGTGTGTCTGTATATGTTCTATATTTTACACATCTTTCTTACTATTATCCAGAAAGCCTGTTCACATCAGCTATTATCTGAGGCCTAACCAGGTATGTGTGGCTTTCTAAGCAAAGATGATTATATTTCCACCACGTATAAAAATATGTGTGTGCATGTCAGTAGATGCATACACATAGAGCAAGCAAGCAAAATGTATTCTAAATAGACCTAATTGTTAAGACTGGGGCATTACATAGGCCTTTTGACTATTTAAAACAAAAAACAAAAACCACACACATATCTTATTTAATCAGGCTGTAGAATAAGGTAGACCTTGAAAAATAAACTATTTTCTCAACTTTTACTAGATTAAAAAATATTAAAATCATCTCAAGAAACCACAGAACTATTTGCTAGGTAAAAGAATTTAGTAAGCAAGTTGTGAAAGGAACTTTCCACCATGCAGGTTGTATAAGAGTTCCAGGGCTACACTGTCCAAATAGTTGCCATTAGCCATAAGTGACGATATATATTTAAATAAATTAAAATTAAATACTGTTTAAATTTTTGATCCACAGATGCACTTGTCATATTTAAAGTACTCAATAGCCACATGTGGCCAATGGTAGCTATATTGGACTACACTGATATAGAATATTTGCATTAATGCAGAAATCCTATTGGACAGTACTGTTCTAGAATCTTTGATGACAGTGGAATATAAGGACTTCAAAATTATAACCAATACTATTAGAAACGTTAAATGTTCATTCTTAAATATTTTAACTTACAGGCCTTTGAAATTTTCTTCTCCCAAATCATTAAACCGATGAGCAATCTCACTCTTGTCTGGAGGAAAAAAAGGGAAAAAAAGATTTGCTTTAACTTCTAAAGAAACAACTGGTTAAGATATTATTTTTTATGTTTCTCTCCATTTGACTTAGGTATTCATTTGCTCCAAGATATTGAGCTCTGACTCCCAACAGAAAATCTTAGGATGATGGTGAACTATTTCTTCTGCATTTAAGCAGAAGAGTTATTTAATCTCAAATGATACTATTTGAAAAATCATTAAATATTTATAGCTTTATATTCAAACCTGGATAAGATCTAATGCCTCTGCAGTGTCTATTAACAGCCACTGAGAGGACAGTCTGAAATGAAAAATATAAATACAAGTTCTATTTATAAGATTAAAAACACAGGTTTTATATTTTTCTGTATAAATTAAGGTACAGTGGATAGACCTTTGGGAATCTGGAGTTTTGAATTCTATCTTCAACTATATTCTGTGAAGTTTAATTCACTCTGCCTAAGTTCCCTCATGTGCAATAGCAAATAACAGTTACTAAACAATTCTCACTATTCGTTTCACCTAGGATGTTAGAAATGTAAGATAACTTCTTAAGGGTTCACAAATACAAAATATCATAACAGTCTAGAAAATAAATGCTAAAGGAAAACTTACTTCATTAAAGATTCAAGGTTTACTGAAACCTTCTTTTACTAGGAAAATAAAATAAAAGTTGAACAGTAGAAAAATAGAATTCTTACGTGTATCTCGACGAAACACACCCCTGGAATAAGCAGAGCTGAAGAGAAAGATAAGGGAAATAAAAGTCACCCACTTCATTGTGCCAAAGCCTTGTGGGGTTGATAGAAGAGAAAAGGTAGGATGAATAGAGGGAGATCAGCGCTAATATACTTCTTTAGCCAATAATTGTAGATTATTAACTAGACTCATCTTTGTATTTCATTGGCTCACAACTGATTGCAAAAGTAATAGTATTCTTGCCAAAAAAATTGTTTGACTAAATCCGTTGCGTATGTTTGCGATCTGGAACTGTTTTCTCCACAAGACCTTGTCAATTCATTAGTTATGTAAAACACCTTATCAAATTTTACATAAGAGTTTAAACAATTTGTACGATTACCGTGTTCTCTGTGATTTACCATTTGAACATTTGAGTTTTCAGTATTTGCAAAAATTTAACCAAACCAATAACTTAGCTTGGAAATAACATATACTAAAAGAGCTAAGCTCTGCATTGATTCTATTACTAATTCAAACTGTACTTTTATTGATAAATAATGAAAAATGTACACATACACACACACATTTGAGAACTAAGGAAAAGCCATAGCAACAATAATAACTGAAATGGATACTCAAAAGTCCTACATTTTCATCTCAGCTCTGGCCCACATGTGGTTCAGGCCCTAGAGCAAAGTATTAGAGGCAATGTGGGTGTCTCTCATGAAATAGACATGGGGAAGAAAATGGACACAATGGCAGTAATGATGATCTTTGCCATCATAATATACACAGGACAGGCTGAGCCTGATTACACCTTTAGTGGTTATAAGAATACTAGATCTTCTTTACTAGGCATCATATTTTTTCCATCCCTATTTCATGCTTTTTTCCTTTCCCTCTTTTAACAAAAAGAGAAGTCACATGCTCTTTTTTAATGTTATTTTAAATTTCAAAATAAATTTAACTTCATGTCTAAAAACAAAGCAAAACAAAGATAAGTTTTTTAAAATGTTTTTTCAAACTTCCTTTCTTATTCTCCCCACCCAAGATTCTGATCTCTACCTCTGAATGACTATTCTCTCTCTGCCCTTTTGCTCTAAAAGATGAACTATGCATTTCAATCAGTGGGAAAATTGACCCTCTCTGATACTACAGAACAATAATTAGTACCAAGCCAGTCATTTCATTTAATTAAATAACCGAGTCAATTAAAACTGTCAGTCATTTTGCCCTATGGCACATATAGGCTCAGAGACTAGTAAATACTCAAGAGAAGAATTATTTTTCCTATTCAGTTATATGGTGAAAGAAACACACTTTCTATGATCTTATTTTATTTTATTTCATTTTCAGGGTACTAATTAAATAATCAAGCACAGAAGAGGAGATAATAGAAAAACAGGTGATAGATTTTTAGATAGGTGACCGAGATAGGTAATATACATACAGATGATAGCTAGCTAGCTAGAGCTGATAAGAGTTTTTTTAATGGCTCGAGGGAGTCCGAATAAGGGAGCCAGACTTGTCTTTCCAGCCATAGATGAACAGAAGTAAACGAATATCTGCCTATGGAATTATTTCCATTGGAGAAAACCATTTCTTTGAAGCCTGATATTGTATACTGTAAAAGAATGAAGGAAACTATGCTGATTTTCTGAATAAAAAAATAATTCCTTTTTGGGTAAATGAAGTCAACTTTTCTTTTAGCCTCCAAGAAAAAGTAGGCACTTTTATTTGAAGTCAGTATTCAACCCTGGCCTTTTCCTTAAAATGAGTCTTCTGGGAAAGCTTGATCAAACACACAATCCTTATCATTGGACTTAATTGTATGACTAATTCACAAAATCAGGCCTTTAGCATTCACACATATACTTTGTGCATATTTTTTTATTTAACAAATGAAGAGAATAATATTAGTTTTTCCACCTACTTTGCACTGTAATATTATACAGTACTATAATAGTAATATAGAAAACCAAAAGAAAATCAAATTCATTATGATTCTAGAAACCTAAAATTGATATTCCTATATTTAATGAAGATTGCATAATTTTCAAATATAAAACTGAAACACCTGAAAGAATCTTACTAAGAGTATCAATAATGCATTTTCCATATGTGTATCCTTTTTAAAGACTAGCAGATGGTTGAGAAATTAAAATATTTAATTCTTAACACTATCTGTTTAAAATTTATCTTAATTAATAAGTATCCCTTGAATATTTGCATTTTGTGCGTTCCCAAAGTAAGGATACCTACAGTTTTCTTCGATTAATTCTGCATGCACATTATAAACTGAAAGAAAAATGAAACTACATAATTGTTGGTTATTTCTAAATATTCTCTGCTTCAAGCTTTTAAAGTCATATTTAGTTAATCATCAAAGGAGTCTGGCATGGGAGTAAATGCAAATATTTAAACCAAGAGTTAAAAATACGTCTTACAGATTCTAGTTTCTTTTTATGGAAAAAGTTTAAAGAGAGAGTGGTTAAGATGATTACTTCATATGCAAAGGTTAATAACGTACTGATCATTTAGAAGAGAAAAAAAATACCTCAGTTGAAATATAACTGGGAATTAAACCTGAACCTTTATCCCTTTCGTCCTTTATTTGTGCATTCATTTTGACAGGATAGAAAAGGCACAGTTTTGAAGCAAATGAAATCTTTCTTGAGACCAGTCCCCTACTTCTTTGCCCTGCTAATCATAACCTTAAACCTACAGCCTCCTACCACACTCTGAATTCCTGAACTTTCTCACCAAGTCATCCAAACCAGCTTTCCTTCCAACTGTCCATCTTCTTGGTCCAGCCCTTATGCCATCTCCTTCTGTGATAGATTATTACTTCTGGGTTGTCTTCTCTTAGAAAAAAAGTGAAACATATGCATTAAAATGTGACAACAATGTCGGATAATAGCCTCAGTATTTTAATAGAGACTTTCTAGAAACACTTAACCCAAAGTCATTCCAAAATAAGGGAAATTTGGATCTTTTTGGAGAGAAATTCAAGAACAAAAAAATCTCTTCTTAGCATTTTTCCTATGATACTATGGACATATGTGTGGATAGGTAGGGTAGATCCTACCTATCATGAAGGCTCTGGACTGCTTTCTAAAAAATGCGAAGGGTAGAAAAGTAAAAGACCATTAAGCATCAAACTAACTAATTGAAACATGGTAAGCAATTTAATTTCTTGTTCACTTGTGAAGATATATTTCCCATTAATAAATAAGAAAATAAATTGTCCAAATTGTATGAACTTATATAGGCATCTAATGCAAACAAAAAATTGTAATGTAATCCAAATATCAATTGTCCCCTCATGTCCCTCCATAAACAGTTGCATTAGTGAGAAAATTCTTTGCTGAAAATTTCATAGGAAACAAAGAAAAGAAAGTTCACATTATGAAAACCACACTAGATCACCATTGTTGGCTTGTCCCATCCCTTAAGTTCTCTCTCCAAAGCTCCCATGGCAGGAGGGTCCCTTTTCCACCTTTCTTCATGTTACTCTGGGCCTCTAGAAATTACATGTACCTTCTCTCAGATTTCCTAACCATTTACTTCAAACTTCTCAACTCTTTACTATGCAGTTTAATTCAGCTCAGTGTCAATTTCTAGCTCCAAACTTGAACACGCAGATCTAGTTATATCTTTATGCTATATGGGTCAAGTTGAATTAAATCATCTTTAAGGACCCTTCTACCTTGAACATTCTGTGATTTCATATTCCCAATGAAACAGTCATAGCATGAGAAAAGGGTCTGACTGTTAGAATGAATATAACAAATTAGGAAATTGGGATACAAATCTGAGAATTGGTCCATTGCTTAGCTGCCCAGTGGCTCATCAGGCATTACTCTCTATCCAATTCAGGTTAACATTTTTAAGAAATGAAAAGATCATTTAACTTGTCTAAATTATGGAAATAAAATGACACTTTCTCATATCTTTCTACCATTTTTCCAATCCAAGAAAAATATAGCTAATGCCTGAAATCCATGTTTATCCATTCTTTGTATAAGTTAACAACAAATAGTCTATAAACATAGAAATTGAAATTAATACTAGTGACTCCTATCTCATAATAGTAGCTACAGATGGACATCAAACAGAAATTAATACATTGCTGAGAGTTTAATAGTGCTTAGTCTCTTCATATTCTATATATTTTTTCAAATATAATTCAAGAGACTTACTACCTAAAAAGGAGATTAGTTTAAAGGTACAAAACGGAACTATTTTTAACCTCTTGTAAAACAATAAAGGTTGTGTAGCTAAAATATTCTTATGTTAAAATGTCAGTGGATCAAGTTCAGGAAGTTTTCATTAAAGGATAAAAATTGTTTTTCCTTCATGTCTTCTAAAGCTTAAAATTAATCAAATGTTTTGTAATCTTACAGTGCTGGACTTTAGCTGAAACTTCTCTGGCTGGCCACCCAACTGAGCCATGAAATTTAAGTCTTGAAATTCTCGTTACCTTTTTAAGCATCCATATATTGGTTAACATCAAGAAATGAATTATTTGATCCAAAAAAACTTGTAACTTTTAAGAAATATATCAAATAAATAATTGGCCTAATCTTTTTTAAAGAGAAATTCATCTCTAGCCTAATTATAATAAACTATACAATGTAAATATTTTGAAAATGATTTTAAATATAATTATTGTACATATAAGCAATGAATTGTTCAAAATTAGTTTTTCATGATATAGACATTGAAAAGAACAAAATTCTTTTATTAGAATAGTATTTATAGGTTTGAAGTTTCTGTTTGCAAAAATAGCTATTTGATAATAATATGTTGCTATAAAAATATGCATTCAAATAGCATAAAGAAGTAATTTCAGTAACGTATGATGTTGACAATGGCAATTTCTTTCCAAAATACTTTTGATTCACAGTTGTGAGATATGCAGTATATTTAATACGTGTAGCTTAATTATTAGATTAAATATATACAATTACTATTTTAATTTTTATATTTATATTAGATATTCATTCATTCATTAAAATTATATAAATTGGCCTCTCAGCATTTAATGTCTTGAAGGCAAATGCTGTTATTGATGAGTTCAAATTTCTCTTTGTTATTACATGGAAAATTGGCAAAAATTGCACATCGAGAAGCATGGTATCTAAAAGCAAACATTGTCCTAGCATCAACAAACCCATTATTTATTTAGGAACACCAGTGTTCTTGCTGACAGAGCACAATTCTGAAAATAATGTTTCAGACTTATTTTATTACTTATTATTTTAAGCAGTACCACCTAGTCTTTCATTCATGTGAAAGAAATGTATCAAATGCTCACTAAATGCTCAAAATGTATTGAATGCTCACTAAATGCCACGCATTTCCTAGGCTATGAGGATACAAAAGATTAATAAGATACAGTCCCTGACTTTGAAGTTCTTGAAGACCTCCCTAGGTCTTGAAGCCCACAGTTTAATAGGGAAGATAGAACCAAAGAAAGATAATTACACTGCAACATTGTAAAGTGCTGTGCATGTAGAACACAAAGTACTGCTGAGGTACTAAAGAAGTATCAGAGGAGAAGCTCTAAATTTAAGGGCAATCCTGTCCATAAATAAGAGGTGTGGGCTCTAACCTCTTCAGGTAACTATGCAACTCAACAGACTGCAAAGCTTCAAATTTGCATTCTCTGGGTTCAATTTTGTCTATGAAGGAACTTTGCCTGAAGAAATGGAATGAGTAGGTAGAGGGCTGAGGGAAGTAAGGAGGGTAAGAATATGTGTAATTTCTAAATGTTTGATAAAATACCAAAATGCAGAAAGCAAAGAGTTAGACCTGAATTTAAAAGACAATGAAATTTCCCGTAGGAGTAAGAAAGAAAAGAAAGGCAGGCTGGCAATCAGAAAAAATAAAGCAGAATTTTCAATTATTTGGATTTGCAGGCAAAGCTAAGGATGAGATTGGTCATTTTAATATTATAAACCCCAAAGAAATGTATTGTTCTGGTAGAAAGCTACAAAACTTCTATGGGGAAATAATTCATCTAAGATGACTGACAAAGTCAGTAGACCACCCAAATATTTAGTGATAAAACAGTGTTCTTGATTCAAGCCATATTTATTTAATAATACCATGTGCCTGGAAGTCTGAGAGGGCTTTCCCAGGGATGTGAGTTTTAAACTGAGAGTTTTTTAAATGGGCATAAAGAAAGATGAAAGAAAATAGCCTTCCAGGCACAGGGGACAAAATATGCTTGAGAAAAGAAAGAGCATGAAAGAAACTGAGAAAGGCTAGAGTTGAGGGGAAGCACAACGTGAGATGAGATATGAGAGTAGATGGTTTGTATGTCATCTTAGCTACAGTAGTATATTTGGTTTTCATCCTAAAAGCATTGAGAAGTTGAGTGATTTTATTAGCCCAATGATATAATCTGATTTATGCTTCAGAAAATTACCCTGGTTGCAGTGTAGGGAAGAGACTAGAGAAGGCAAGAGTATATCTATGAAGACTAGTCAGGGGATTAATGCAATAGTCCCAGCAACAGATGGTGAGATCTTGGCCTATAGCAGTGGTATAGAAATGGAGAGAAACGGACAGATTGAAGAGATATTTAGGAGCAGTACTTGTCTTGGACCCAAAAAAGAGACCGCCTTCTATAAAATCCATGCTTTAGAAGGCCTCCTCCAGCTTCTTCCAGCTATGTTCTGCCCCAGCTATGTTCTGCTTCCAGCTATGCTCTGCTCACAAAACCGAGGGTATGTCTTCCTCCTATTCTAGACCATGATTCAGGCACCCTAACC